TTACATTGTTTTAAATTATAAATATTTTTTTTGTCAATACACGTGATTATATAATATTATTATTATTACCTATATATTCTATGATTTTCCCAAAAAAGGTAAAATTAAAGATAATTACTCAGATAATTATTAATAATATAATATGAATATTGTGTTTAAATAAATGTTGGTTAGAAATGACTTTTGTTTATTTAGGATAAAGTAATTAATTATTCAGAATATGAGAATTTAATATTATTTTTATATATAGTCATATAATATAATATATTATATATTTTATCAATGTAATGAATGCTGATAAGGTGCAATTACAGTCTAAAATTATAGTGCGAACAGAATTGTGCATCAGACGCGAAACGATATGAAAGTATGGTACAATAATTTGCTTGAATACAATTGCAAAAGCGTGTATATAAGACATGTTCGTTTTTCTTAAAAAAATTACAATAAAGCTTATATCTTAAGGAATACCAACACTATAAGCTTAGGGGCATATTATGTTTAATAGCTATGTTATAATATCATATTAAATTGAACTACATCAAGTAAAAACACTACCTACTCTAAATATTTAAGTATATTGACGTAAAAAATGTTTGATGGAAAAAAACGTTATTTTTGTGGGTATCGTATTATAATATACATATCTTCAATAAGAATTTCAAGGTTAAGGCATGTTTGGTTTTTTACAACGACCCCATTACCTAGACATTAGTTATTCTATTCTATACAATTTAATTGACCTTTGATCACTGCATCACTAAATTCATTCTTAAATTCAAAATTGTTTTTTGTTTCGTAAAAATATACCTACGGTAATTATTATATGAAAACACAAATAGAAAGAACTGACAAACATGACATGTACGTAGTTGACACAAGTACAGAGAATCTCTGCATGCCTGTACAAGATCCTACCAATTAAATGTCTAGATATAATATGACATATTATGAATAATACTTTCATACGTACCTAATATATATTATGACAATAATATTATGAGTAAACGATGCCACTTGAACGAGAACAGTTAAATATTAAAATCAAGCGCTTACCATAGTTAATTATGACTTATTAGTTGTAATTTATAACCAATTTATTTATATTTAATTGTCCAAAGATATTTGACTACGCTTCACAATAATTATACTAAATTGTACGGAGCAATTTCCGAGCATTGTTTTACTATTTGACATTATTTTGTACCTGTGTACAACAAAGTTTTTGTTCGTTCTATTTGTTAAACACATTACCCCAAATATATTACACCGTGTCATAGTAAACAGCAATAGAACAAACAAAAAACATTTATGTATTCTGAGACCGTGTAATTATAGGGATATTTACAAAAACGATTTTGTCCCCATGAAGTTATTTACAAACGAGTATATAACATATTATATTATATACCTAAAAATTCGTCATTGATATACAAGCGTCTCAAATTCACAAATAAGCTGAGAAGTAATTTACCGAAACCACAAGGGCTCATCAATGTGCAATTTATAAAATATTCCACTGCAAAAAATATTTTTTAAATAAATTGTATCGTTAGACGACCTCATCTCATATTATGACGGTGAACCCATTTTCTATTTATTATGAAAAAAAATAATAATAATAAAGGCACACCAACTGTTGCTTACACAAGTGTTTTGATGGTAACTATTTTTTTGAGATTTGTTAAATTTCTAGAATCATTTATTATTGTAGGTACACATTAGTCATTACTCATTACTCGTTATTATTTTATGCATTTTCCAGTCCTTTATTTACTCGTTTATTTATTTATTTATAAAATTGAAAACAAAATTAAATTTAAAAAAAACAGATATTTTAATACAAATTGTTAATTTAAATTAAATAGTGGCCAGTAGGTACCTATTACAAAACTGTTAACATTATCAACCTCTAATGTTATATTAATATATTTTAAACATAAGCGCCGGGGTAAATGATAAATATACCACTCTTTTTTAATTCAAATTTCGATAGAGAACGACAGACAATTCAAATAGGTAAACCATTTTTAGCATTAATCAGTTATAAGTTATAACAAATAAATAATTTAATACAACCACAAAGATATATTATAATTATAAAAACACTAAGGGCCGTTCTTACAATGTCCGGTAAAGTGTCGGTTAACGCTAACCGACTGATAACAGATTTTATTACCGGCAGAATTCGGCCGGTTAAGTTATTTTGGTTCTCTTCAACAAGTACCTATTAAACAGTTAGGTACTACTCAAAAAAATTAACATTTGCAATAACGAATTCCATGCTATACCTATTCATATTTTTCACAATTTTTATCATCATAAACCATAGAAAAACGTTTGAGGTCCATAATCGGTCAGGTATCTGAACCATGATATTCATAATCATGAACTATAACCGGTAACCACTCATTACCTAATTTTCTGAAAACGTTTCCAATAAATCTATTGTTTTCAGGATTGTCTCCCACGATGTATAGTTAAATGTTCCCTTTATTCTTTAAAATCCTGCCTCAAAAATTGCCGAGAACGATAATAATCAGCAGATATTATAATCATTTTAATATTAATTGTGCGCCATACGAAATGAAATATAAATAAATATTAATTATAACATGGTTCAACTATTCAATGTTTAAGAGTACCCCTGTAAAAAAATCCCGATCCCGATCCGATAAAATGTTGTTATTTGCAGATAAACCGTTGCACGGCCATCTCGAAGATCGCGAGAACTATTTAGTATTTACCCAAACTATTTCCCGTTTCGAGCGTAAAATATCGTTTTGACGGAACGTTTCCAAAAACACAATGCATTGTCGCGCACGTTCGGGGAGGATTCTTGCGACGACCCGTGGGGACTAGGGCTTTTTGGCTTAAAACTTTAGAACTCATCATTATCGATAAATCGTGCCCCCACGGTACTACCGCACCCCGTCGAACAGCAGGCATACTTCGATGACCGAAGGTGTCCTAGTCATTCCGGAAATCTCCCTCAGTCCCTCGCACCTCGTGCCATGATAAAATTAAATAATATTATCTGACGCAGCAGTCCACAACTGGCGACGGACGGTCATCATCATTGCCGTTTGCCGCAGCGGGTCCAACTGGTTGGTGTGGTGTACTGGTGATGGCGGGGGGAGTGGGCGGTGGATGTCTCGATCGAAAATTTACTAGCAGGATAACGACTGTGATGATGACGGTATTATTATTAGGAAGACTGGTTTTTATAGACCGTCGAGTATAATTATCGCTCGTCGTCGTCGTCTCCGGGTTTCCCCCGTGTATTAATAAAACAACCCGGACGTTCTATGTTTGGGCGGCCAACCCGAGAGGAAGCCCGATACTGTGTACGTACGTCGCACGCAGTTTTCAATAATAATAATAATAATATTAACGATACAATATCAAGACATCGAATAGTATACTACATATTAAAATATTTTCGGCAATTTAAAAACAACCGTACTTACCCAAAGGTAGACACGGTACCTATAATATCATAGTATTATTATGTAATAGACACGAAACGGAACAACAAGTGTCCGGAAAAATAATAAACTCACCCGGCGAGGCGTACGGCATCGTGTACGACAGAGGTGTGCGGCGACGGCGGCGGACGTTGAATGAGGTAAACGTGCTTGCTGGCGCGCGCGTCTTAGGAACTTCCGAAATGGCGATTTCGGAAGAGGTGTACCGTGTAATGGTCGTGTTGTGTACCAACGTGGTAAACGACGGTGGTTATTGTTGTTGCTGTTGTTGTTAAAACAATAATATCGGCGAAAAACTCAAGAATCGTAAAAAAAACGGTTTAAACACGACGAGCGACGACAAAGGCCAAGTAACACACAAAAACTAAAGACCGAGCGAAGGCGATCGAGGTGGGTAAAGGCCGCCACGGGGTTGACACCGCGAGGGAGAGTGACGGAAAGACAAAAAATGAGGGTGGGGGGCGAGAACAATAATATTATGTACACGTATATTATGTAATATATTATTATGCTATATCATAACTTAATATTATTATTATGTATAATAATATTACAATACGAATTGACTGCCGAGGTAACGAACGTATATATTATACCTATTTTATATTAAATTATTAATACGACTAGGAGGTATATTATAACATATTATTACTATTTGTGTGCGTTACGACGAGAACAAAAAAAGAAGAGAGATATGTACGCCACAGACGACGGGGACAGGAGAGAAAGAGTAATATTAATATTATCGCGGTACAAAACAGAAGCGAACGGACAAACGGCGACGGACACGGAACACACACGGACACGTAACACGACACACGGGACTGACGACTGTAAATGAAGTATGATATTGTTATGTGCGGACGGCTGCGACGACGGCGATAATAATAACAATAATACCGACCGGCAGCGGCACGCACACACAAGCGCGCGCGAGCCAACACGAACGGTCGCGCCCGCACGTACGCACACACACACGAGTGCGCGCGGCAAACGCGCACGCACGGACGGACGCCGCCCGACGTACGATGATGACGATGATGATGATGATATTAAACGCATACGGCGTCCGCGGCCGAACGGTTCGATTAGCCGATTTGTTGCTAATGGGTCGAACGTGTGGGTGGGCGGTAGGGTGGTGGGGTGCACGTCGTCGATGTCGATGCCGCGACTCGTCGTTCGCCGGGCACGAAAATAAATAATAATAATATCATGGCGTGTCGACGGAAATAGTATATCGGTTTCGTCGTCGTCGATCTCGGAATTTTGTATTTTCATGTCTTTTCCGAGAGCTCTTACCGCGCGAGCGTGTGTGTGAAAACACGACGAAAACGATGCACCGAAAAACATTCAGACAATACTAATTAATAATTTATTATAATCATCGTGTCACGATTATAATGATAAATAATAATAATACGATAAGGTCTGGTAATGTGCGCGAAAAAAAATGCCATTATATCAGCTACAGCTGTCGAGATAGCCGAGATAGGTTACACCTTTATTCCCATGCTCACAAACATTATTTATTTTTCAAATTTTACAAATCCTAGTAGTCCACGTGCATAACCGTACGGATCATGATAAAACGATGGAAAAATATTATAATTTGTATATTAATAATAATTATGCGTTTATAGTTTATTATTTAGTATTCAGTTGGTGTGTATGCAATTAAATATTAATATTATAAAGATTATCAGGCGACATACAAACGCGGTCATTTTTCGGATGTTATTACTTATTGTTATAATAAAATTATTACGATCGCTATTATAGATTCGTCGTTACACGAGTTGAACCATTCCGATTCGTTGAGACGAATAATTTCAATACAAAATATCCAATAATAATTATTATCTACAAAAGTCGTTGACGTTTTAAGATAACAGGGATCGTCGATGTAATATTATTGTAATTTCAATTATTTGCGTAACTTTGGATGATCCAGATATTATTATGTATTTTTATAATTATTTTTTATTGTTTGTGCATTACGTTACTACTCAGTTGTGGTCAAACTGCGGGGGTGGGGTACTAGGGTAGATCCCCCTTGACTCTTTTTCAATATTTATAATAACTAGTTTACCAATTACCACTATAGTTTTATAACTATATTATATAGATTTAAACGGTAACCATTGATAGTATTTTTATTGATCAAAATATAACTCACTAATCAACTACATCACTCCATGTCAAAATCATTTTACAGCCACTACTTCTACAATTCTACTATAAATTCTATTACAATATAGGAGTGACAATAAAATATTTTAACCTGAAAGGGTCAGAAAACGTACAGAATATAAAAAATAAAATGATTAGCTTAACTGTATTATTTTACAAAATTCGATTTATTGATAAAATAATTATGAGACAAATTTAGAAGTCACTGTGTAATTAAATTGTTGGGGAGGAACTATTAGACCAGACATTAATACATTACAAATTACCAAAAAAATTATTGTAAAAGTAGCATACTCCCTACCATTGAAATAAGCATCAGAGGAATTATTCAACCATACAAATATATTACTACCTATTTATAAATTATACATTAGACAAATTTTAGTTAAATCCATACAAAACCACCACACACTCAATGCTACAGAAATAATTGACAGAAGAACAGGAAAATACATTAAACCGTCGTATACATTATTAACTAATTCAAGAAACTGTACCAATTACACGGGGAAAACTATAACCAACAATTTAAATGACGAAGTAAAGAGTCTAATAAAAAGTTTATGTGAAAGTCAATACATTAATACCATTGATATAATATTAATAAAAATCAAATAAAAAAGGGCAATAAATAAAATAATAAATTAGTGAACTTGATGATAATGTGTGTATTAATAAAATTATAAGATGACAAAGATATTTTATTATTTTAATCACAATTTATTATTAAATCTAATCTAAAATTATTATATTTAAATAAAATATATAATTAAAGATTCTTTTAATTATCCTTATGGCCCAAATTCATTATATATAAATTATATTATTATATTTGACACATACGACTAAAATGCTTGATGAATATTGATTTTCTTTATAATATGTAAAACATTTAATTTGTATTTAAATAATCAACTGTGAGTACTTATGTAAAAATTATGTTAATTTTATCATTATGGAAATTGAGAATCATAAAAAAACGGTATTGTATGAATATATTATTTCTATGCCCCGGTTTAATTACAAGCAAATAATATCATCATTATAATAAATTTGTATGTGTCATGTGTATTAAGTATTTATTTTTACTTATAGGTTGAGAAGAAAATTTAAATATTTGGCTGTGTTAAAGATGATAAAAGATGATAAAAGATAATAAAAGATGATAAACATGTTTACCTAGAGTCTAGACAAATTGTATACTATATTTTTGTTATTACTTTATAATGGTCAGTGTTTTTGATATTAAAATCATAATTTTTATCTTCTATTATAAGGAATTATTCAATTGAATTAATATTCTACATTTTTACTCAAGGATTAATTTAGATGAAAATATATTATTTTCTTGTTTAAACACATAATAACTCGTAAGCCATAATTTTGTTATTTCTAAACAGCCGTTTTATGACATTATGTCATACATCATAAGGGACGCTTAATATATAAGTACTTATAAAAAGCCAAAAACCGGCCACCGGGAAGTCACTTGCCACAGGAGGGATTTAGCCCACAATTTACTGACCCATTTAAAATGATAAGTTTTCCCTTTAAATATTTCTTATTTGGGGCAACTGCGCCCTTGTATCCCCCACCCTCACCAAATGCCACCTATGCACTCTGCTGTGTACCAGGTGACGAGTGTAACTGGGCATTGACTATGTCACTGTAATGGGTGTTAACCTTGAACAAAACGATAAGTAATAAGTCATTGTATGCAATGAAAAACGATTCTAAGCGGAGACGGTCGTCATCGAATGTTATTGTATTATGTCTACAAAATAATAACGATTTTGATGAGTTTCTTCAAACTTTGAAATTATAAAGCTCATAAAAAACTGTGTTAATATGTATTATCATTATTTTGTAATTTCTGCAAGAAAAACTTGAGATGAACATTATACAAAATGTTCAAACTTTTTTATTCTCAAACAAAAATATCATCATGTCTAAGTCAAATAAAAAAAGTCAACAATTTTGAATGTCTATAAATAAATCAAAAAGAGCGAAAATATTTTTAAAATTGTATCATGTACAGAAAATGTTAATATGCTAATTTTCTACTAAAACTTCTCTAGAAGTTTAAGACCTGAGCATTTTTTGACTGCTTAAAGTGTCTTAAGACACACACAAAAAAAAATGTTAAAAACCCATCGTTGTAAAACAAATTCATTCATCGCTCCGCTCAGAATCTAAAATATATAATTAAATATTACGTACAATTATATATGTAAAGAAAATCAATTGATGAATATTGAACTTATTATAATATTTTAAATATTATATTATTTTTTCAGTAACTTTATGAATAATTTAAATATATTATTCCGTGTAAAGTAGTTAATAAAGTAAAAAATTATAACTATTAAGAACTTAAGATCGAACGAAACGTCCAATCTAATAATACTTTTATTTAATTATTTATTTAAAAATAATTATAGTAGTACAATTTATAATTATATTATATAATTATGATAATTGACAATATTCTATACAGTTGGCTCTACCTACGGTATATCAAATGATTTTTTTTTAAATTGTGTCATCGAGACGTAGCAACATAATAAGTGTTAAAATTTATAGTTACATTTTTAAAGCTTTTATAAGATGTAAATGTAGGCCAGCAATACTTGAGCGCACAAAGTATGGTATACTAATATAATATGTATGTATACGAGTGACAGCTGACAAGTCGTCGGCACATTTAAAATGCGACTGGAAACGTTGAAATTTAATCTGACATTAACACGACCCAACATTTAGAGTCTAAGTACACTGTATAGATATTAGTTATCTCTGTTGACGAGCAAAACTAAAGTTATCCTATAAGACACCAGTCTGACTTCTGTCAAAACATTAACTAAAGCTATACTGTTTTAATTCTGATTTTGAAGCAATCCCATT